GTATTTAAAAGACGAGTAGATGAGGCGCTTAGGGACATGGTTTAGTGGGCATGGTGGTGTTGGGTTGACGGTTGGACTCGATGAACTTAGAGGTCTTTTCCAACCTCAATGATTCTATGATTCTATGATTCTATGAAAACCAACCGGCGGAGCCCCGACCGCTTTCGGATGCAACGGCAGCACAGGCTTGTTCTGCAAAATTAACCCCGTCTCACGCCTCTCCCCTTCTGGGGCTGGTGCCGCTGGGGAAAGGCTGCTGTCTTCCCCAGGGATGCTCACAGGGGTCCAGGGGGAATGAACACTGAAAACAGCTCTGGATTTCCCTCGCAATCCTCCTCCCTCGAGCTCCCACTCCATCACACACAGAAAACTCAACAGATGTTTCCGTGGTTTATGGGAGTTCAGGGGGAACCGGGCCAGGGCACGAGGTGGCAGAGACAAGGAATAAGTTTTCCTAACACGCTCCTTTGGGGAAAAAAAAAAAGGAAGGAGAGGAAAAAAAAAAGGGGGGGGGGATCAACCACAGCAAGGAGAAGGCTAACTACTTTTCTTTTACCTTATAAATGGAACAGCAGGACCCACAGCCAAGAAGCGCCTTCCAGAGCATCAGGCAGTGCAGGACCCACTGCACCCATTCAAAAAGCAGGAGCAGAGCTGGAAACATGCTGTGAACATGGAGGATCTACACAGTGATTTTTACCAGCCCGTTACACTGAGGGCATGCACAGGAGTCGCTCCCTGATGAGCCATCGAGCCCCTCAGAGCCGGAGTACCGCGGCTATCCACATGCATTAATGTGGATTAAGGGAGCCAGCCGGCAGGCTGAAGTTTGGGATCTGGCCAGAACAAGGTCTCCCTCCTCCTACAGAAAGTGTCTCAGAGCTTTTAACAGCCCCAAGTTAGCAGCTTTATTTCTCCCCTAGAAGACGCCTCCCTCTAACACAGAGACATTTCAGTGGTGCCCATGGGCATGGGCAGGGCAGCACATCCCAAATTACCCTTCGGAGCCCTCTGCAAAATCTCTCCTTGCCAACAGGCTTGGCAGGACACCTCTGCTCCCAGGGAAAATTTTTTGGAGATGGGTGAATGAGGACCTATCTCAACACCCGAAGCTCTTTCACCAATGTCCCCAAATCTGGCCACCTACAGCTGTGAGTGGGACAAACACCAAAGCCTTCACTGACTGCAGTCCAGCGAATTCTTAGGCAAGAGTGTGAATAATACCATGAAAGGGCTCAAGTATTTCACCCCTATAAACATTAATGGAGAATATTGCACAGGCCCCTGAGTTTCAGGCTAAATCCCTCAAAAGCTGTGACTGATAAAGAGGGAGGGAAGAAGGAAAAAAACAGAGACCAAGACAGGCCAAGAAAATCAAGTGTCATGGAAAAGACGGAGAGGACTACGCAGATTAGAAGAGAATAAAGAAGAGAATAAAAATAAAAGGAATAGCAGAGTTACCGGGTAACCATCGCGTCCTGACTGCCCCTGTGGTGGGGGAACAAGTGAGATAAAGTCAGTCAATGCACCTGTAGCAGTGTGACAACACATAGCAGCAGGCAGGACACAGGGCCATCGTCTGCCCAGCCAGCCCCGGGACCAAATTCTCTCCAGAGAAACCTCTCGGGACAATTTTCCTATCAGAAAGGTCGCACCTATGGCATATTTTCCCCAGATTTTGATCTCATGCTTCCCTTTAGCTACTTACCGAGGCTTTTGCCAACTCACACCCATCCCTGCTGTCTGTGCTCAGTCCCTGCCACCCCCGAAGCCACGGGCGTGCAGGATACACACTAGATCCTGGCCGTAAGCCCGCCCCGGGATGCAGGTACCAAGAGGTACAGGAACACCCAGGCGCCAGGGAGAGGCCGGGGCGGCTCCGCAGCAGCCGGGACAGCCTGTCTGCCCAGGAGCAATTGCTGAGCTTCAAGCTCCTATTCCAGCACTTGATACAATGAAGGTTTCCCCCTCTTAGGTCCATTAATTTCCTTGCAGGATGCAGCTCTCCCAGTCCACCTCTAAGCTCCGCTTTGGTTTGCAATGAAGTGGGAGGAAAAGTTGATGCTACGGGGAAAGACCTTACTTAGTCCCTAATAACACCTGCGAGACCAGTGGAATAAAACACAACCCATTCAGCATATTTCACCTTTTCTGCTCTTCTTGGGGGGCTTCCCAAAGGCGTTTACAGCTCGAGCTGCCGTTAAACATGCCGTGAGCTACAGCAGAGGAGCCTGCTGCAATCCAGACATAAGGCAGATTCCCCGGGAAGGAGCTGTTAAGTATTAGCTGGTACACAAGTAGGCAGTAAAGCGTGTATCTGGTACAGCAATGTCATCTGCTACCATAAACATAGGTTATGTCAGCATGCTGCGGATATACAGTCAGATCCATACATTTCTTATGGCATGAAATAGTTCTGGCAGCCCCCTCCATACCACGTACAGGGGTTTTCCCTTCTTGCTAAGTGTCCCTGCAGCTTTTAATGCCTCCTGCAGCCCTATTGATTCATCCAGAAACAACATTGACTTCAACAACCACCTATTGAACAAATTACAGTCTTGGGATAAAATGTACAGTGAGATTTTTATGGAGACGTATGGCACTGGAGCACACACAGATAAATAGGAAACACTTGTAACTCCCAGCCCTCGCTTGCTGGTGAGTTCCCCAGCCAGTTTGCTAATACATAAAGTGTTTGTTAATATCTGGGACTGTAAATTTTTAATTACAGTCTGTGGTAAGCCTATCCTTCAATTGTAGAAATTTCCTACCCAGCATGTGATTTTAATACCCTCCGAAACAGAGGTTTTATAGCACATCTGAGCAGAATACCCCTTACTCACAGACAGGCCAATCAATCATCCAACAGCCACAAATCCTGTACCACAAATCCTAATAATTTCATATACACAACTAGCTTATGACAGCCAAAAAATAAAATACCGGAACAACTGCTACTAGGGAACAACAGAATTGAGGATACAGTTTTAGCAGAGTGCGATGCTGTACATGTAAGATGTAATCGATTCCTTATGGCCAAAATCAAGAAACAGAAGAAACTAATAGAGTTAAATACAGTACTGTTGAAATAAAATAATATTGTGGTTCTGTGGGTTCTAGGACTTTTCTTACATATTATGTCTAAAGAATTCTCTGGCAAATGCTGCTTACGCTAAAAATGCAGGGTTGTTTTGGTTTTTTTTAAAGATAAACTAAATCAGGAGTTGTCTTTTAAAGAAGGGCAAGGGGAGAGGAAGGAAAAAAAAACCACCCCCAAGTCTTGTTTGTGTTAAATCTCCCCTGTGCTCCGTTTGCAATTCAATAGTGCCGTGGGAACCAGGAAATGAAACGAACTAGAGACAAAGAAAAATTAATAGTGCACCATATGTTGCCTATGTCAAATTGCATACAATAAAAGTGAACGGACAGCACACGTGAGGAAGCGTAACCCAGCCGGCTGCGTGTGGGCTGATAACAGCCTCTGAGCAGGAGCAGAGCCGAAACGGTTAAATAAATCCATTTTAAATAAGCCAAAGTACTTTAATGAAGAGGAAAACATCCCTTAAAAGATGTATATACGGAGTTTTAAACAGGCAATGTCCTCTTCATTTGTAACCTGCCATTGAGCGAGAAATTTTTTTATTTTTTTATTTTTAATAATTAGGCCAAATTGCATGAATTGCAGAGAGGGGGGGGGAAAAAAGTCACCAGGCAGAAACCCTGTGGGGACCGGCTCTAGCACCCAAAAGGGCTCCCCAGCCGCACACGCCTGCGCTCAGCCTCAGCGGATGCTCTTCACGACCTCGGGATCTTGCCCGATGACGTGACCGTGATGCAGGGTCTGGTGAAGCAGGCGAACAGCCGTGCCGAACAGAGCGGCATCGAGCTCTGGGCCAGGCGCGGGGGAATTCACCTCCCAACGGTGCTCAGTGCCCTAGTCACTAATATTTCAAAACCCCACGGAGTCACTTTTATTGTGTCGGTTGGAGAGGCTACGTTGCCGTTTTTAATTACAGAATATTTACAGGAAAATTAATTTATTGACAGACTACATTTCTGAACACAAACCAACAAGAAAAATCCATTTGTTTGCATTTCTTGAGCCAGAGTCTTGGATTTATTGCTAATACTGGGCACAACTTTTAGAGCAAAAGCATTCAGATTTCCTCTAAGAACGGTTAAGGCAAAGCTGTTAAGTTTTCCTGATTTGCTCATTCAAAACTTAGTCAAATAATAATTTTGCTCAAACCCCTCTGAAGTTTTTCCATCAAAAGATGAACTTGAAATAGAAGCAAAAATTCAAAAGGTAAAAGCCATTAACTAAAAGCCCCACAGGCAGCGCTGTCGATCCCAGGAGAACCAAAGCCATGGCGCTGTGACAGCCCCCACGCTCCACGTGCGTTTCCTCGTCACCCTTTGGCTTTTAAACAGATTTACAGAACTGGAAATTAATTAGCCCAAGAATAGTTAGCAAATTTCTTTCTCCTGAAACGATCCCTTTTCAACCCCGTGAGGCTCTATAGGAAGAGAACAACGTGAAGAAACATCTCTGTTAGTGCAACGATGGAGAAGGAAACACGTGGCTGCAAACAGCCCGTGCCTCTCCTCCTCCTCCTCCTCTTTTGGGGGAAGAAAGGTAGAAAACCAGAAGCACCTAATGCCCCTAATTTCTTTTTTAACAATCCCTCAGCAACTTGGAGGGCACAAATGAAACGCTGTTTTCTCACTCCAAAACCAGCAGGACAACATCAGATTTGGACGTGGTGGTGGCACAGCAAAAGGCACGTCTGAACATTTGGAAGGAGTTGACAACATTTTCAACTATTACCCCTTCAAACAACAAATTCCCCATAAATTTTCTGGTTGCATTGGTAGGAATGCTCGTTATTCTCCCCAAGACTTCAAAGAGAGAAGCAAAGCAAGCTACGGCTTTCCCTCTAGCCCCCCTTGTGAGGCTACCAAACCTGTATTAAATGATGGAAACACAACAGATAAGAAAAGCAAGACAGAGTTTTAGAACTAAAAAACCCCACTATGTTAATGTTAAAATATTAGTACAGCACTCTTTCTGCTAAATGGAAGCAGACTAAAGAAATCTTTAAAGGGAAAACTCTTTTTTACTGAATATTTTCTGGGTTTAAAATTACTGGAAGTCCCTCGGGGCAGCAAGTTAAACATTTTAAAACCTTTTTCCCCCTCTCTATTTGTCTACAATCATAAAAAAAAAAATACAGCAGCATCTGGTACCAATTTTCCTTCCAGACACACCTCTACCAAAAAATGCTGTGCTTTTGCAATGACACCACAAGGCAGGGGAAGGGGGAAGGGGAAGCCTTAACTTTGTTGATCCAACAGTAAAATCCACGATACTTACTGCAGGTCCTGGAAAACAAAAGAAAAACAAAGAAAAAAAAGTCACTTATTTACAAGGAAAAAGTATAATCTGATAAAAACAGCACATAGCAGGAACTAAAATCAGAACGATTCAGTACTTTTCAGTTCAATACACTTAATGCCACCCGCATCCTCCCGTTATGGGACCATCTCACCCGTGCTGCTGGCACGGCAGTACTTCCAGGGCACGTAAAACCACCCTTGTCCCACTTTTTCCCCAGCGTGACACTGTTCCCTCTCCCCCCGTGAGACCCGAGACGCCAGGGCACATTGCAAGGCATCAACCGCGTTCAGGGCCTGGGGCATCACGTGCAACCGCAGAGCATCGCCAGCAAAAAGCAGACAGACACAGCTGGAATTTTAGGAGCAAGAAGTGCATTTTCACCATAGAGCTTATTTTTCTTCATGTTGTGCAAGAGGAGCTGGAGATGTACTTGCAAAAGCCAAAGGAGCAGCGCAGTGCCGGGGGCACCTGGCAAGGAAGTTGCTGCAGCTGCCACAGATCCCAAACGTCGCTGTCATTTGGTCCCCATCCCTCCCTGACCTCAAAACACGTCACGCAACCCCGTGGCCCTGCGTCACCCTCCACGCGGCCCCTGCTTGAAGGCTTTGCTGTGCTCAGAGGCAGCCGGTGGGCTGATGCACGGTGCCTTAGATCCAGGGGAAAAAAAAAACCCGTCACACCTACAATGGGCTTTGGGTACCGGTGCCACAGCCTGAAGCTGTGATTAATGGCAGTAGAAAAAAAAAATCCTCCTCTATTCCCCTGCGGCGCGGGGGTCTTCGCCACCTGCCACACCGATTTCTGCAGCTTTCCTACCGCTCGCCCAGGCTGGTGCTATGCGGAGGTGAACACTGAGCCCCTAATCTAATGCAATCCACATTTCACTCCCGTTTGCAAGGCAGCCTGTAGCTCTCGGTTTGGGGCTTCTTCATGCTCCATTTCCTGCCTGATCAAAACCAGAAACTAATCACAATTGAAGAAGAAAAAGTGTGGGAAAAATTAAAATGGAGGGGGGGGGGAAAAAAAATCAGCTTTGTTAATCTTACATTATTCAAGAATATAAAACAAGAAGCATATTTCAAGCTAATGCATTGTCAAGCTTTTTAAAATGTGTTTAAAAATTAAAATGTTGAAAAGTTGAATAACAAAACCCAAGAAAAGCCTAAAAACGGGGACTGAAAGCAAGTAACAACAGGCAGCGCCTTCTGCCAAGAATTAGCCCGTTAACCTTTGTTCATCAGCTTAACGTGGTCAGCTCCGCGCACAACCGCAGCCAGGTGCCCAGCCGGCGTGGAGGGGAGGAGACAACCTCCAAATCTCCCTCCATGCCCAGAAGCCTATTTTCTTTAGCGCTAAAATTCACACAGGCTCTTAGTTCGCTTTCCTTGGTTTAATTCCTTCTGAATACAGAAGTCAGTGGCTCTAAGCCAATTTATTAACTGAGAATCATAAACCTGATTTATTAACTCACTTATGCCAAGCTACCCACAAAAGCCCTTTTGTAGAAAAGTCAAAACTAAGTCTTGAATAAGCAGCAGTCAGGAAATTATTTTAATATGGGATTTCAATCATGTACCAATTATAATCTCCGTGGAATTTGTTGCCTTTTTCCTTTTCTCAGCTACTGTTTTCTCCCAACACGCGCAGGCAAGAACTCTTTCAAAACGCTTTCTTCTCAAATACAGGAATCAAAGCTGGATGGGGGGGTCTGTGTATGCAACACGGGATGCTCTCCATCCGCGTCAGTGGACTTACACTGATCCTTAGCTGCGCTGTTGGCCAAACGGGGCTAGATAAATCTTCATTAAGGCATAAAGTTAAACCCTGTTGAACGTATCTTTTCTCCTCCTGAGAACAACGTAACTTTCTGGTTTGCCGAACGTGTTTTTTAAAAGCCTAGCCATAAGACACTTGTTTCCTATGGAAGCCAACGATAACTACAGAAGTTAATCAGGTGCCGAGGCGCTGGCCCCCCCCCAGCCGCCTCCGCGATGCGGGCACATTGCACAAGAGACACGCTCTTTTCCGAGAAATTTGCCAGAATTTACGGCTAATGATTTTGACTAGTGAGAATCAGTTTGAGAGCTCAAAAGGAAGAATGAAACCAATTGGAAATTGTTACTATAATGAATAAAAGTTGGAAACAGCCTTTATGTATTTAAAACTCCGTAACGACCTAACTTGGGGGCTTATTTCAGAAGGAAGAGGAGGAAGACAAAATAACCTGCAAATGCACAGGTTTTGGTCTACGATTGATTCGCTATAGAGAAGGGAAACCTGCCATGCTTTTCCATGATCTGCAGCACACGTTACTGCTATACTGCCGGGAGTGAACACCTAGTACCTGAGCCTGCAAGGGCATGGAGGTATTTGGAAATGCCAAGAGATTCCTTAAGGACACGAACAGTTGTGCGAGAGGGAGGTGAAAATAGAAACTCATTAAAATTAAATGACCCAGATTTCCTGATCGACTAACATTAATGTTATTTTGTATATCCAAAGACCTAGCAGATCATGATGGTATCATCCCCAGCAGCACACAAAACATACGGGAAATGACAGGTCACAGTCATTTATTTCCAAGTATTTTTGCAGCTTGCGAATTTTGGAGTAAGCTACCATTTCTGTTTAATCTAGAACTCATTTATCATCCAAGCTTTCCTGCCACGACAGGAGAGAGCACTGCCAGGTGGGGAAAACAAAACCAGCCAGACCTTTCCAACAGCCCATGAACGGTCAAAGGGAACTTTGCCGCTGCCCTTTATGGGCAAAGGACCTGTCCCCAAGGTAGCACACACACATCTGTGGCCACCTGAAGACATTAAAAAAATGATAATTTAAAAAACATACATATATACACACACATAAATATCTATATAAAACCATACGTATGTGTATTTATACACACACAATATGTACATACACACACAGAGTTATTAATCCAGGATGCTGTAAGGGGAGTAACTAAGTCATGGGCAACAAGGAAGGAGGACAACTGCTACAGCTGTAAGAAGCCACAGAGATCGGCTCTACATCAGTCTGAAAAAGAGTATTTATCACTGCCTGTTGACCTCAATAATTCCTATCTGTCTCTCAGCGCTGGTGCACATGGGAATGTGCTCTCCTAGCAGAGAGGCTCATTACGGAGAGCAAATATGGGATAGATTAGATTTTTCCTAAAGTTCAGTAGAAGCCAAAGTCATCCTCGGGTATGAGGCTATACGTATGCAACTCATCATAAGAAATACAGGGAGCAATGAAAAATCCCCAAATAAATACAAAATTCTGCGTGATTTACCCACATACATGCACGCACACACATGCTTACTGAATAACAACTGAATATTTATACTTGTCCACACAATCACATGGCCAAGGGGTTTGGAAAGAGTCTTAATGTGTAAAATATGGGATTTAGAGTACGTGTAGGGCTGGGAGAGAAATAATGTTTCCCTGCATAGAAATTGCTTTGCTTTTGTTCCTTAAAAAGAGCTTTAGATTCTTCCCTGTTCCGAATCAGGATATTTCTATGAACAGAATAGCTGTAAGGGAAAAAAAAAATACTTTGAATCAAAATTTTGTTAGAAGTTCAAATTAAAGAAACAGTTGTAGCGTAATGTAAATTTGGAAACAAAGAGTCATTGGGGGTGGGGCAGTAGACTGTTTTATCCCATTTCAACAATTTCAAAACATTTTCCCTACAAGTGTGTTTGAAATGGAAAAATTTTGTAAACAAAACTTTTACTGCCAGAAACAGCAGTTTTGCCAAGTCAACATTTTCCAATGAAATAACACTTCATCAAAAAATACCCTTCCAGGCCTACCTGTAAGGGCAATTTTGTGCCTAAAATGGCCAACGTTTATTCCCTTCTGCTGAAGCTGCGCACAGTTGATGCAAACAGGCGCTACCCATGGCCGCAGCGATCAGCTTTGGGCATTTGTGTGCAGAACCAGCTCTTGCTTCATGTGAGGAGAGCAGAGATGTACTCGGAGACTTCCCAGACTTAATATTTCAGGTGTATTTTCTCCTGCTTTTTCTTGAGGGATTTTGAGGTTCAGATCAGGTTTTGGATGAATCTTCAAGCCAGGAGAAGAAAGCAGCATGCCGCTGCAAGAGACACGAGCACCATCTCCCACCATCTAGTTGTACAAAGACTTTGAACCAATATTTAAACCAACTAAATTCCCAAATCCTGGATCCGACTCATCCATCCTTCAGGAACACCCCAGCATGGACTGGTCTTTACAAAAATAAACGTAAAGCCCCGGGGGGGGCTGCGCGGCCGTACCCCATCCCGCTCACGCAGCACCAGCTGGCAGCAAGAGGGGAAGCAAAACCACCCAGGTCCCCTGCTAAAATCCGTGTTATTTCACAAACGCTCACTACAACAGTTGAACTGCGTCCTCACTGGGACATATCATGCTAAAAAAAATAAGCTAACATGACGTTAAACATAATTTTGCCTTTGGCATGGAAAGGGAACTGTATCTGAGACGTGCAGGCTGGCTGTCCAGACCAACACAACAGCTAGTGCTGCAAAACCTTCCTTCCACCTCGTGCTCGGAGAAGGCTGCAAATCCCACATAAGGTCATATTAAAACGTGGTTTTCTTTTTATACACCAACTGTTTCCATTGGTGGGTGCACAGGGGTCTTCTTCAAGGCTGCGCTTGCTTTCCAGCTGCACAAGAAACCGCTGACGCTCGTGTGCAGGAGAAAGGATGACGCGATTTGTGTGTTGGTCCTGGCAGGATGGGACGGAGCTTGGGAGATGCTGGAGTGGAGGTGGGTGCAGGCACGGCCACACTGGGGGACACGTTGGGAAGGACACCTCCCCAAGGAGGCTGCTGGGGTGAATTTCCTGGCCTGGTGGTAGCAACAGCGGAATAAACTGGTTTTTAAAAGTAACTTCTTCCACACTGGTAGCACTCAGGTGACTGTCACCGCAGTGACTCCAGCCCTGGGACCAGCTCTAGGACACGTGTGCTGTTCCCCAGCTGCAGCTGCGGAGGCGATTCCCACAGGGCCAGATGACAGCAAAAGTAAATAAAATGGGTCGGATGAAGCCGTTTGACTCAATTACTCCTTGGTTTGTTTAGTTGGGCTGACTGGCAGAAACGCTCCCCCAGGTACCTGGTCTTAGTGTTTGAGGTCAGGGAAGAGATGACAGCGGAGACGACCGGGCCACCACGGGAAGCTCAAGCCCTCGCCGGAGATGCGAAGCACAAGGAAAGGCTGGGGTTTAGTGCAGCCCCCCCCCCCCCGCCCCGGCTCCCCGGGGGGGAAAACTTGTTGCATTTCTCTGCATTGCTTCTCTACAACAAAATAAACTGAGCCAAGCCCAGAGGCAAGGCCCCGGCGGGACCCACCTCC